TGGAAGTTAATAGGGCAGTAAATAATTGACTATTTCCACATTCCATAGGCTTAAGGGAGTAATTAATAATGTATCTTCCCATACAGTATGCTTAATGAGAGGGAAATGGTGGCAAGAGTAAAGTATCCTGTGTTATATTTCATATATAGCATCTATGTAAACTTTTCTTGGTCAAAAGTAAAAGCAAGCAACCAATAAAATCAAAGGTTAGTTTCTTCAACTTCATGCATGACCTGAAGCTGCCAACCTTCTTTTACTCATCTTCTTTGTGGCTAGCTCATTCTTCTAGGTAGTTGTTCTTCAATAGTCCACTGCATTTAACAACCTTCTCTCATGATAAAGCGTATCAATCTTAATGTTGTTTTGGGGAGAGGAGAGAGCAAGAAGGAAGAGGAATGGCATTTTATGGCTCTAAGTGACTTGCCTTCCATGTGGTGGTCACAGACTGGGACATCAAAATGGGATTTAGGAAGAAAATGGATGCACATCATTGAAGATGATGGCTTGACTTTGACTTGGTTGTCTCAAATATGAGCATCTATTTTCCTTTAGCTATTTCCTGCTCCATAGTGCCACAAAAGATGTGCAGGGACCTTGTGATGAGAGCAACCACCTATTACACAGGGCTTGTAGGTTCACTGTGCTGTGTTCGTCCATAACATGGTCTTGGTACCAGGACCTTGAATGGAGTATTGGCCCATGGAGTGGCAGCAGATGGTTGTCTTCTGTTTGCTTCTATTCGTCTTTTACTCAGCTCAGAGAAGCTTTGCTTACTGTTAAGAGCCTGAGATAAGAGGCAGCATGTAATTACATACTGTCACAGTGTCCATAGCTGCTCTTCATGTGACTTTAAAGCATCCCCAGATAATTTTTGTTTAATGTAGATACTAGTAACTTACTCTAATATGTAATCAGAATGCGTTACATGGGAACACACTTAAGATGAACCACCTTGACACTGCTGATTGCTGCATGTAGTATTTATTTCCTAGTTATTTTTTGTTTGTTTTTTCCAAACAAGAAAGTGGGGCAGCTGGCTTGCATTCTTGGATTCTTTCCTTTTCTGACTCGCTCCTTTTCTCCTGTCTCCTGTTTTCAGGTCAGTGCTCAGTTCTCAAAACGGATCCAGACAAAAATCAAGGACCTTCTGCAACAAATGGAGGAAGGGCTGAAGACAGCAGATCCACATGACTGCTCTGCCTATACTGGCTGGACTGGTGAGAAAGATAGAACTTGAATGAAGTGTGTTTGTTAAATGGCATAATTGGGCTTATTCACAGGAGGAGGTTCTGGTATTCTCACAGGAGCAGCAGAAATACTCTGATACAGGCATTTGTGTGAGTTGGTTTCTTTTAACTCTGGACCCTTGGTCATTTGCTGTCTGGAGTGACTTGCATTGATTTCAGTGGACAAAGGATCTACTTAGAGAGAGGTAATAGGCTTTTGTATATGGAAATCTTTATCTTGCAAAACGAGTGGATTTTCTAAGGCTACTCCTTCTTTTGGCTTACCTCTAGTTTCTTTAATATTTTCTTAAAATGGGTCATTTTCACTTTTTTCTGTTCAACTGACTGATAGTTAGCAATTGTCCGATGGTAACAGCATCTTCTAATCATTGAGAGGGGGTGTTCTGTGCACAGGAGCTTGGAGCCTTAACATCTGGAATATGGATAATTTGGCTCTGCTTGTTCTGTCTGTACAAAAATGGTAAAATGAATGTGTGAGGAAGGGGAGTATGGGGGTGGGTTTGCAAGATTGTGAAGTGCATGAAGATAAAAAGGTGTGTGCCAGCGCTGGTTATTGCTAGGCACTGTCATTCATTTAGCATTGCATCACTGATGCTGTCCAAATGTGAATGAGCCCTTCTGATCCTTTAGGCAGAGCCGGCAGTTGTCAAGCTTGATGCAGCCACTGCTCTTCAAGCTGCCAAAACGCTTTCTTGTCTAGGCCTCTTAAGTGCCACTTTGCTATTACAATGGCATATTTTATTCCTGCTCTGTCTAGCTCATGCTTCAGGCGTACTTATGCTTTTAGCACAGCATGTTTGAAATATGCGCTGAGGAGATCTATTCTTTTATCTTTGTGAGGGGGAGCAGCTTGGAAAAACTCTCCAGGCTTTGCCCATGCTCAGGCTTAATTCTGTCAATGAAAGGGTAAAATTTCTTTGCTTTCTTCTTGGTGTTTCGGTACAGATGGTGCTGTGGGTGGATGGATGGGCAAGTTTTAGACAACTCAGGCTTAAATGGTAGATGTGTTTCAAGGTCTGAAAGTGAGTGGCTGCTAAGTGAGTGCGGAAGATCTTCAGTGGCGGGCTTTCTCGCGCTGACATTACAAAACGGCTCCCGGGAAGCTGTGTTCTGACACTGTGATTGACAACTGAAGTTACGGCTGATAAACCAGAGCATGCTGAAAATGAGTCATAAGCTAAAAGTAAAACAGCCATCATTAGCTGAAAGTAGAAGATAGATGAACAAGTAACGCAGTGTAATGAGAGTGGGTTTTTTCCATGCTGTAGAAGGATCGCCAACTACGTCCATTCCAAGTTGTAAACTTCTTTCAAGGCTCCTGTGGAAATGACTCTGAATAAAAATATTTAAATGATCTGGCTTCTAAAATACTTAATGCAAATACTTTCTCCCCAAACTTGCTCCCTGCAGCATTTTGCTAGTGTGCAAATCAGAAGCTAAAAGCAATGCTGAAAACAACTGCCCTGCTTGTTATGTACTAAATCTAGACAAATCTTATTGGCGCAGTCCTGAGCATTGGCTTGTACTCTGTGAAACATCTTTGAAATCTTGGAGCGCATACTGTTGGCACATAACAATCATAGGACTCGTGTTAGAGTCCATCTTGCTTATACAAGTACTCTTTGTATGTGCCAGACATCTTGGAGGAGCCATTTTAAGGGTGTTGTACAAGGAAGGATTGGGTGAACTGGGCCCCATCGCTACTTTTCTGATCATCAGCCCAGATACCTACACATTTTTTGCAACATAAAAAAGGGTTACAGAAATCCCAGGAAACAGCCCACAAGTTCCCATGCCACTGAATTGGGCTAATCAAGCTCTGCAGCTCTCCTCCTGGACTCATCTAGAAAGGCCTGTTCAAAGCCAGTCTGGAGAACATCTGAGGATGTACCAGCACTCTTGTGCTATTCCTCTTGTACTCCTCAGGTAGCCTCTCTGTGGAGCTAAGTGGGCCTTGTGTGTACTTGGCTTTGGTTGTTGCTCAGGAGAGTGCTCTCCCTGTTCAGAAATGACTTTGAGATGCGGTACGGTCTGGAGGTAAATTTTTTGCTTCTGCACAGGTATGCTTGCAGTTGGCCAATAAACACCCACTTAGGTGGATTTGTTTCACTTTTTTCAGTCTACGTTGTTGCAATTTTTAAGGTTTGGTTTAGTTTTGTTTTAATGGAAAATGATGTAACGAGTTTAATGGAATAAAGCTTGATACCACCTTCTGGCATTCTCTGAGGACTTGTTTGCTTTCTGGCTTTTACAAACCAGCTTAACTTGTAGAAGCTCATAATCTTGTTATGAAATATATTTAAGGGTTATAAAGAACTTGGCAAGTTGAATCCAAAAACTCATCAAAAGATCCTTTTAGAAATCAAATGGAAAATAAGTCACTTCTTGCACATAGTAGATGAGTATTGTACAGTCAATGTACTTGGTCATACAGATGCTTGTTAGCCCAAATTTTTGAGTCTTCAGTGATTTCTTCACCAAGCATTGGTGCCTGTGTCATGAATTTTCTTCATTTTTCACAAATTATGAGTCTACCGTTGGGCTTCAGTCTGATAAATTTTTTTTTATTTTTGTCACAATCCAAATTGAAATGTAATCAAAATAGATGGCCTGATGACTTCCCATTGCATAAGCTAGGACCCTTGACTGACATGTTTTAATTGCCCATATACCTGCTAGCATTCGAATTACTGGTTCAGAGGCACTAAAAAGGGGAATGTGATGTACTTAGAAGGAAAAGTAAATGAAACTATCTCTTTTTCATGTGGTTGTTCCAGGTATTGCCCTCTTATATCTGCAACTGTACCGCGTCACAAAAAACCAGAGCCATTTGCAGCGGTCTCTCGATTACGTGAAGAGAATCCTTCGCAATCTGAATGGCAGAAGAGTTACTTTCCTCTGTGGTGATGCTGGGCCACTGGCCGTGGGTGCAGTGGTTTATCACAAGCTGAAAAACGACAGTGAATCTAAAGAATGTGTTGCCAAGTAAGTGATTCATGGTGGAAAAAGCCATGCCCTTCATTTGTAGAGAGCATTAGTTCAGTAATATTAGCAAGTGGAGTTTTGGAGGACAGGATTAAAAGTGGAGACACTTTCTCCCCTGATACATTTTCAGTAGAAGAACACAAAATAGGCTTTATCTTTGTTAAAGCTGGCTTATACTTGATACATATTTAGCGGGTTATCTTGAGTCCTCTGTCGCTGTAAGGACAGGATGTCCTGGACATATCTGTAGTGCATGCACGTTTTGATTTTGTCACACTGAAGTGACATTTAACAAAAGCTGCACGCTTGTCATCGGCAATATGTAGTGCTTGTGCAGTACGTGATGCTTCCTGTAAAGAGTGGGTCTTAATTATAGATTCATTACAAAACATGTATGCTGCAGGGATCTGGAAACATCCAGACAGAAACATGGTACATCGGATTGATATGTAACAAAGATTTAATAAAACAAAGAGGAGGTATTTGCTGAATTTAATTAGGTCAGAGCTTATGAAGGGTAGCCTGAAAAAATTCCAGCCCCTTTTCAAAGTAATCTAAATGTAACAAATGTCTTGAGAAATCCCATTTAGATGTAGAGCTTCCTTGGAGAACTGACTGTCCCTTTGCTGGTACGGAGCTGATTGCTGTCCCAGCGAGGGATGGAAGCACTGGAGCCCTGTGGGGTTTGCATTCAGCACCAGCGATCCACCTGCCAGCGGATCACCAGCAGCATACCTTAGGCTGCCAGAATTTGCGGACTAGCCTTGTGTCCTCATCTCCATTCTGGTTTATATTTGGAAATATAATTGGTCTCTTTCTAATCTAGAATCCAAGTGTGATTAATCTCTGCTGCTGTTCCTGAATGAATATTTCAGTTTTGAAATGGGTGATAGGTTTGGGGCTTTTTTGCTTTTAGAACTGGCAGTAAACTTGGGCATGTCATTTTGGATGCAGCTAGGAAAGCAGTGTTGCTGTAAGGCATGAAGCATGAGTATAGCAAAATGAGATTAGCAATAAATCTTTTAGTCTCGCCTCTCCTTGGAAAGTCATGTCTAGGAGGAGGACTGAAAAGGAGGTTAGTTTGATTATTTGTTTCTTTTTTTCCTTTTTTGTTTACAAATATATTCATGACACCAGCTGAGTAGTACATTATAGATGTCAACATGTAATTTATGATTGCACTTTTAACTTTTTACCTTGTAGCTGTCCAGTTGTATGATTTGAATAATAAAACTTAACAGTGGACAGTTTAAAAGAAAATAATTCTAAGTCCAAAGTGTAGTTCCAAGAAAGGAATGATAATATAAAACTCCTTTTTTTTTGTGAGTGGCTTTTCCCTGGTATTAAGCAGTAGCAGCATAAACAAGCCATTAGGGTCAGTGTTTTTGCTCCAGCATCATGTTAATGCTAACATCTCTGCCAAGTAATAGCAGCTGGGGGGATCTGGGAAATGATTTTGGACTTAATCCAGATTGTCTTGCCCCCTCCCCCAGTTTACAATGTGATCATCCCATGGTTTCATCTAATTGCCAATTTAATCAAAAAGATAGGAAGAGACAGGGACGGAGTGGACAGGAAAACAGATCTCTGCTCCACCTTAATTGTAATGCAGACTGGTGGACTAATAGCAGGGAGTCTTTTTGGAGCAAATGAGAGTTGCGATGGCTAGCCCAAGTTTTTTTTTCCATTGTTAAAGGCAAGCAAAACACTTGTGCGTAATAGCAGCCCTTTTCAAAATTGAGCTGCTAAACATTTGAGACAAGGTGTTGTCTAGGGAGGGGGAGCGCTGCATGGTGGTATTGGGTTTTTTTGTTTGTTTTTGTTATTTCCCTCTTACACATCTACAATTAAGGGTCCTCGCTTCTGGTGTGAAATTCCCAGAGGCTCCAGGAGGTTTCCCTATTTGTTTGAGTAGCTCTCCAGCCTCCTCCAGCCCCCACCCTGCACCCATACATCTATTTCTGTCTGCACAAAAACCTGATAGTTGCACTAATACCTGGCTCTGGCTCTGAGTTGCCTGTCTGTCAGGGATGGCAGGTACGCAGAGCTCCTGTGTGTAAACCTGGCAGCCAGCTGAACTGGGGATAACTGAAGGGAAGTGGTCGGGCTTCGGCACTCATTCTGCTTCTGGTTTGATTGATGGCTTGTGCAATACATAGTCCAGTACGGTCTCTAAAGAAGATGCTCTCTCTCCCCACCTTCCTTGTCTGATGCAGGTTGTTGCAGCTCCAAAGGACAGTCATAAGCACAGATGCTGAACTTCCGGATGAGCTGCTTTATGGCAGAGCAGGTTACCTATATGCCTTGCTGTACCTGAATACTGAAATCGGTCCAGACACTGTCCCACAGTCTGTTATCAAAGAGGTAAGATACTTTTCTCTCTCCAGTGCCACAGCATCAGTGAGGTTGAACTGGAATGACTCCTTTGCGTAATTCAAGGGATTAAGAGAGCGATGCTAGAGAGAAGAGGGACCTAGAACTGGGAACTCAGTCTCATCTGTCCCTCCAATCTCTTCCCCTTTTCCCTGCTGCCCAGCTGGGACTGAGATAGGCCAGTGTGGGTGGGTCCATGGCCAGCCATGGAAATGGATCTAATATGTAAACAGTTTTGGAGCATTTGAGGATGAGAGATTTTTACGAAAAACCTTAAGACAGAATTGTGGAAGTGTTTAAGTGAAAAGAAGGAGAATTCAGTGTGGGGAAGATGCACAGCTGTTCTGCAGATACCAGAACCAGAGAAAGCAGGCCTGGAAAAAAGCGATTAGAAATATTCATATATTAAATTTCTACTCTTAGAAATACAAGTGATTCCATCATTTAGGAAAAATTCCATTTCTACCTCAACACTCAAGCCCAAATGAATTGAATATTATTTTCCTATCACTGTTTATTGTGGCTTATTCTTTACTGTGGTTTTAGTCATGGCAAAGCAAAACCCTCTGAATCAAAGCAAGCGAGACAGATGGAAGGGGTGTGTTCTCTTTCTCAGGTAATAGATGCTATTATTGAATCTGGGAAAAACTTTTCGAAGGAGGAGCGGAAAACAGACCGTTGTCCTCTGTTGTACCAGTGGCACAGGAAGCAATACGTTGGAGCGGCCCATGGAGTGGCTGGGATCTATTATATGCTCATGCAGGTAAGAGCGTCTTCTGTGGGCTGGGGTGAAACACCAGTGATTTGTTGTTTTGCATTAGAGGATCTTATCTTCAGCTTTCAAGCTTGTGCTGGGTCAGGGTCTCACATACTCTGTGGCACAGAACTGTGCAGAGGTGCTAGCTCAGGCCCTGGTAGCAGAAGAAAACTGTGGCTCAGGTATCCTCGCGTTAGAGTGAATTAACCCTTGAGTTGCAGTTCAGAGCACTGGCGTTCCAGGAGCTGAAGTTTCCTATCCTCAACAGAGACGGTGAGGTGCCTTCCCTCATCTTCATACTTAGTTCTTCTGGTGCCTGCAGTTAGACCAGCTAAATATTCACTTACTCACCATCCATCACTCTTCAATTTTTTTCTATTTTTAAATGAATGCACCGCTGGTGCCTCCTGTCCTCCTGCCCTCCATGCCCTTCCTCTCTTCTCCGGTGACTTTTTTTTCCCCACTGTCTTGAAGCTTTTGGAAGACTATCCTTAATCACACATTAGTCTTCAGTATGTTTTTATTCTTTAGATGTTCTTCCTCTTCCTTATCCCCCCTCTCTCTCCCCCCAAAATCTGATGTTCCTTAGTGCATTTATGACCCCTGCTTTCCTCTTTCGTCCTGAGTGAGATTCCTCTCTTATGTATACCTCCTCTTTTCCACATTTAAATCCGTTCCCCCCTGCCCTGAGATTCTCCAATAGGATTATGATGTTTTTCAAAACAGACCTGTGTATCTTATTTCTGTTGTTCAACCTGGAAAAAGAGCCTTAAGATTCATTATACATGAAGATGGCCACAGAGCTGCAAAATTTGTATTGTACCTGTTTCTCGTTTTTAAAGGTGCTGCCAGTCTGTGCATCTTTGTAAATGTTCATTTTCTTACCAGCTCATGCAGAATGGCTTTCCGTCAGACAAGTGGAAGGATTGTATGTCCTCGTAGCTGGAAGCTGCGTGCAAATGTTCACTGCAGAAGTGACTGAGCTGGTACTTGGTGTTGCTACTGCTCAGCCCATTCATCATTTGCAAAAGATGCTGTGACTTCTCCCCATCTGTTTCAGATTAGCTCACACCACTTCCACCAGTAGCTGAGGCCAAAGCGTCTGACTTTGCTGTGGAAGTGGCTACTGCTCTGCTACCTGGGGGCATGACTTAACCTTACTACAGCTATTTTCTGCAATGACCATCTCACTGGGGCTGCAGGCTGCTCTGATTTACTGTGCCCTTATTTTCACTTCCTGCTTTCTTCAACAAGGTGGTCCACTCCCTTCTGGCTCCCTCATCTTCCTGGCTTCCATTTTTCCTTCCCTGGCAGAAAATCTGCTAGATTTTCTGAGAAACATCCGGTCCTTTAAAAAAGCCTCTTTAAAGGCTCCATCCTTCATTTACTATTCAAGGCTGATAGCAGAAATAATTGCACAGTGCTTTTTGGTTTAAGCAGAAGCTACTCTGTCTACATGTTAAAATTGTAACTATCTTTTCCTTTACATATAATTGCTGCTTTTAAGAATTACCACAAAGCCATTGTTTATGCAGCATTAGATTACTGTCTTTTCACTGTACATTAAATATTGTGAGTCATGCAGAGTTGAGTCATCCACTGCAGAAGAGAAGAAGATGGCATATCCGAGTCCATCCTTTCCCCATCCCTCCCACACCAAATGAGGAGAAGTTTTCTGTATTTTCAGC